TTGACATTACAGTGGGGTGGCTAAGTTCAAGCACTCAGCAGAACTGTGGCTGGACATAGTGAGAATGTCCCCCTTGTCTGCCCTGGAAGCTCGGTTACTTCCTTCTTGTTCACATCACTCTGGCCTAAGGGAGAGAGCCAAGGACACCACCCCATCAGCACTGGAGTTAAATCATCACTGATTCCATCCAAAAGACTTTTGAAGCCATGTGGTGTCTAACACGTTCAGGTGTCCAGATTCTAGACTGTTACAGATTGTCCAGAATACTACACTCACTGATGCTAAACACTGGGTCTCACGAGTAAGAATCAGCTGAACCCATGGCACCTCACTTACACAATGTAGTAGGGATGGAAAATTTAATTGAAAAATTCAGTCAGATTTGGAGGTTTCCCTGCTGATTCTCAAGGTTCACAGGCATGAGGGTCTCAGCGACCTGGCCTCTGGTCTTGGTGCAGTTATTTAGGGGGATGGGGACCAGCCCTGGGATCCTCAGTGTTACCCCTCCTCTATCCTCCATGCTATCTCCATGGAGAATGTCCTGAGAACTCTGGGCTGCAGCACCGGTGTGACTTCTGGGCATGGCTGATGACTGTAGTTAATTTACCCAAGTTTAGCTATGTAACTACACATATAAGCTTTCGTGATAAAAAGATACAAAATGTCCTTTCCCCACCCCCTAATCTGTGTTTGAGTCACAGTCCATGGAGGTGTCTCTGGGATTCTGGAAAGTTCTGCTTCCCTGACTCCAAGGTCAGTGGGTCCTTGGGACCACTGGTGCTGCCACTTGTGTCAGACCTGTTGGGACTGTGTGAGGACACTGAGTCACACAGACCTTTCCAGGCCCATCTGTGTCTAATATTCCCCAGACCTCATGAGAAAGACCCCATGCTCAGAGACCCTCCTAACCCCAGAGGCCGCCTGGTTAGTCCTGTCATTTGGCTAGGTGGCAGGCCTATACTCGAGGTCGCTGCAACCCCAGCCCTGGGTACCACAGCAAGGTGGGAGACTAGATCTAGGCAGTGAATGTGTGCTGTTGCTGTTTCTTCCTGTTCCCTGGAAGCACTTCTCTGAGCCATGTGACCCCACGGAGGCTGCGGAGCAGAGGCAGCTTCGTGACCGACGTCTAGCCGAGGCTGTGGCAGAGAACCTGGGGGTGATGTGCAGAAGAGCGAGCCAGGAGGACATGGGCCTGGATGACACCGCTTCCCAGCAGAGTGCATCAGATGAGCAATAATGCAGTGGCTGTGGCAGGGCGAAAGACTCTCTACCAGCCACCTTCACTCTTTTCTCTACCCGCAAGCCCAACACAAGGGCTCTTCCCCAGGGGAAGTGGGAGCTGTTCTAGAAACAGTCACTACGTTTGTCACTACGTTTATCTCAGGTTCTTGAAAAAAAGTCTCACATGGTGGGGGACAAAGACACTGTACTTCCTTCCCCCAAGCACTGCACAAAGAATTTGACATTTCAAACAAAAGCCATTTAATACCTGAAAACAAGTAGAGCAAATACAGCCCATGAGTAACTCCTTCCTGCCCTGGTGAGAACAAGACCACTGCATGCTAGTCACTGGCGTTTGGTACACTGCTGTTACCAGGAGAGACAGGGACACCACGGGTGGGTCCAGTGTATCCAAGTCCAAGTGTAAGGAGTCTCACTTCTTTGTAGTATTTATGCAGCTGTAGGCGTAGCCAGCAGCACCTCCCTCGCAGAATCCTGGCAGTGCATGCAGTCCTGTCTTCCATGCTCTGTGAGGAGCCAAGATATATTAGGATGGGAGTTCATAAATGGGGTACATGGCCAGACATCCACCCTACATGTCCAGGTGATTCCGGCCACCAGTAACCCGCACTACCCAGGAACGCGTAATTGTCTTCCAAGCTGAGCAGCCCCTGCTGTGCCATAAGCACACTTGCACACACCTTTGTTTTGGAATTAAAATGTTTACAGTTATTGCTGTGTTTGTCTGGTACTTGAGTTCTCCAATTGCTTTCATTTCTAAAAATGCATTCTTGACTAAAACTCACCTAAAAATATACCCATTGATAAAAATGAGATTTATATTTGGGCAAATCCTGAGACAACTTTTCCTATCTCCAGACTGTCATGTGGAGGGGAAACCCAAGCTTTTTTGCAGACAGGAGGAAAGGTGGGTACCCCAAACAGCATGCATGAAGAATATTACACTGACCTGTGGGACAGCTAGAAAGAAATACTCAATTTAGAAGTCACAAAATGTCTTCAAAGCATCTAGGATTTGGAAGTTGGAATGGAGGACAAAGGGAAGGCAGGTGTACAGAAAACCTCTCACCACTAGAAGTAGGTGGTAATGCTTTAATTTTTTGTAAGGTAAGTATTAGCAGTTAATAGCAATGAGTGGGCTTTCTAATCAAAGCCAGAGTGCCATCGCACAATAATCCCTACAGACTTTATTTCTGGTTCATTTTCAGCTATTGGTCTAGTGAGATGATACTGTCACCTGCTGCAGCTCCTGGCCATTCCTGGGTGCCATATGGCCTGGCCCTTGAGGCTAAAAGGTGGCCCTGAATGGTTGAGATTAATATGCACAGGACTGGCAGTGGTCAGAATGGAACACAGCTGACACTCTTTAGGTACAAGAAAGCACGTACAGGACACCCACCCCCAACCCAAAAAATAAAGCCCAGTGGGTATGGGGACGGCAGTATGTATGCCTCTCACCCTCATACAGACTCAGGACCTGCTTGTCTACCTGTGCAGCCTCCTGTCCAAGTGTGCACACTGAGAGGTGTATACACTGGTACCTACCAAGTGCGTTGCTCCACTCCTTTTGGCTGGCTGGCCACTGGCAGCAATGCAGCCACTGCTTTGGTATGTGCAATTCATGAGCACAGGGCCCGGCCCCTGAGGCAGCAGCTGCATGACAGAGTGCATGGCAGAGAACACAGGGTGGTGTTTTACAGGAGGCAGTCCTGAGTTGGTGTTTCTTGCCAGGGTTCTCACGTGTTCTGCCAACATGTAGCTAAAGTTATTTCTGCATATGGACACTGAATCAGTTTCTCCTTTAAAGACAATATGAAACTGTAGCATTTGGGTGTTCTATAAATCATTTGGCTAACTTGGCACTGATGCTGTAATGAAGCATCTATCTGGCAGGTAGTTCTGAAAATTCACTGGTGTTCCAGTGTCTCATGACCTGTAAAATGTACAATGCACCACCTGGTTACTTGGCTTCCTTTACTGTTTGTTCCAAGCCTTGTGCTACATAACATCTGCCATGGGCATACCCAGGTGTGATCTTCCCAGTTAGAGCCTTCCGTGAACACTGAGCTGAACAGAAGATATGCGCAAGGCTGCTGCGGGATCTGAGGCTGGGGGCAGGATGAGAGACTGGATTTGCAACTTCCTGGGAGCCCCTCCACACCTGGCATGATAGCCAGACAATATTTAATCAAGTCAGAAGGTTCCCCTTAATCTTTCTGCACAGGCTTGTTCTTATAGAAGAACAAAGGAAACAACCTGTTAAACTGCTGTGTGTGAACTGACTGGAACTGATGGGTGCTAAGATCTGCTAAGGAGCAGGAGGAAAGAACTATTTAGCAAGTCATTCTCCAAATTGGTTTTGCTTTATCCTACTCGACCTTGTTTTAGCTCAGATTCCTCACAGAGCAATGTTCATGACGATATTGCATGTTTCAAAGTGAGGTTCCCTTAAATCAGGACTCATCGCAGTCGGCCTGACATCATGACGGCCTCCGTTAAAGTTTCTGCACTGCCCTGCACACCCAGTGCACTGACCATCCTCTGATGATGTGATACCACAACAGCTGAAGGCCTGGCCAGTCTCTTGAGGGAGGAGAAGCAAGGAGTTGTAAAGGACAGCAGGCCTTAGAGTCACTGAGACTTGGGTACCAATTTCCATTTGTCACAGATAGTGCCAACTGGCTTCAGCCAGGAGCCCTCAAGTTTTCCTTCTAATTTAAGACACAAAATTCACTGAACAGTCACACTGAAACAATGAATGCAAAGCGACCAGAGGCAGAGGAAGCATGTATGTCCTGGATTTTGGAGGACAGTGACCCTAAGGTACCAGTCAAGGCAGGCAGCTGTGCGGAGCTGGTGCTAGGCCTGCTTGGTCCCTATTCTCTTATGGCTCATTGGGCTCCAGACAATGCACAACCTACTTGCGTACATTTTTGGCTGGTATCAAGTCCATCCTCGCTTCAAGCACATGGCCCACATCTGTGTTCAGTGCCCTTCCCATTATAGTGACCACTGAGGTGGCAGATGGCCTGGCAGATGCATTGAGCTTAGCCTATGGTCTCTGTGATCAGACTACCCAGGCAGGGACAGTGGAAGGAGATGTCTACCCGGCCATACTGGGCAGTGGCCCTAATGTAGCAGCCTCCATGCTGTGGACCTTAAAGGTTTGACAAATCAGGTCAGTCTTCAAAAGCTCTCCAGAGGCAAGTGTAACAATATGAGCATCTATCCAGGTTGTGCTGTGTTTATCTTCATGGGCACCAGTACCCACACAGGCCCAACCTGTCCAGGTACCCAGGGGACATGCTGCATTCACACCAGTGTATTTGTAGCTATGCTAGTTGCTAAAATTTCATGGCTATTCACAGATCTTGACCTAAAATCTATTTCTAAGCTGCCCATTACTCCAGGATCACCAGCCACATGGACGGCAAACTTCAGCCTGACAAATTCTGGAGGTTTTGCATTTTTCTCCTTTCCTATTTTCCTGATATGGGCTGTACCAACCCACAAGATTGAGCATCCTCATAGCGATGAGTGGAACAGCTGAGGACATTGCCTTTTGCAGTCACACCACCCTCCTGGGTGACAGTCATTGCCTCACTTTTCTAAGAGACAAACATGGTTCAGAAAGGTTCCACAATGCACCCATGTTAACTCAGCTTGAGCAGGGCTCTGGTGTGAACCTCACACTTTACCCTTGTCCTTAGCCTTGGAACTCCCGAATGTTAGATGGTATCAATGTCCTAAAGACTGTGTGTCTGTACTATCATATTTATTAAACAATATGAAAAGAAATAAACAAGAAATAGAGGAGAGAAACTATAGTGATTCCCTTTAGAAATAATAATTTTTTAAAAGTTCAAGTAACAGTTAATGACCCTGAGCAGCACGAGACCAAAGCTGCACCTGGAGAGCATTTAGTCTTCATGACACACAAAGCTGATTAGAATAAACTTTTCTCTCCTCTCTCAGACACATTTACACACATCAGTTGAACCCACTCCATCTGACACTCTAAACCCATTGCCTACCTTGTAACCAAATCATGTGCCCGGCTGGAAGAGTAAATAAACACAAAGCCTAAGGCACAAGTTAGCCATGGTGGGTTGTTAATCATGGACAGCCAACTGGCATCAAGGCTAACTTGACCTTTCAAATGTTTTATGGATAGCAGCTGCCAAGCTTTCTTGGGCAAAGCCCACAATGTCCATAAACCTGAAGGCGCCAGACCTCACTCTGCAGACAGGAAGGGAGGGAGGCATCAGAAGCTGTGCTTGACCCAGGCATCCTGGGGGCAGCAACGTAAGGACTCGGTCCAGCTCACATCCTGCTACTTTGCACACAGTTCACAATATCTGGTAGAAGGTGGTTTCTGTTTTCCTTGGTGACCTGTGGGAAGAAGCAAGACAGCCAGCTTCAGAATTCCTTTCACCTGATGGCAAAAAATCTCCTAAAAGAAACAGTGTGGAAGGCTGGGAGAGGCAGTGGAAGCCTAGCTCTTTGGGGTTCTCTGAGACAGCACAGGACCACCACGTCCCACCATCAGCTTCTGCAGTGATGGCTCAGTCACAGACAGCAGCTCTGAGAGCTCAGTCTTCTCTGGAGAAAGCCTGAGCTAGGTGCTGTGAGGCAGGATGGGACCGCGAGCCTGCTGCTCAATAATGAAGGGATGATGGAGGGAAGTAAGGACCACGGTCTGTGGGGTCTATGGAGCAGCCAGTGGCAGCGAGCCACTCAGAGTCCAGTGAAGCTCCAAAAGGCCAGTGTGATCTACTCATCTCCTTCACCTCCACCATGAACACACACACACACACAGGAATGTAGACAATCTGACAACTGCAGGGGGCCCTGAGCTTGGCCAACCACACCTTTAAAACACGACAGGGAAGCTGAGACTAGCGAGGGAAAAGCAACATGGTACAGACTAACTATGCCTCCTGACCCACTATGTACTCTGTGGCTAAAGGCCTTACAAAAACGAAAGTAATGACAAGTTATTTCCAGCTTTTCCTGATGGTGATGGATACATCACCTTTTACCTACCCATGTATCCCCTGGCAAGCAGCTGGATTATTCCTGTTTTGGCTGTTACGAATAAGGGTGTTTTGAACACACATTAAAGTTCCTGTGTGAACATGTGGTTTTCAATGCTCTGGAATAAAAGCCTATGGGTAGAATTGTTGGCTCTATGGCAACTCGTGTTTTACCTCTTTGAGGAACTGCTGGACTGTTTTCCAGTGACTACATTGCTTATATTCCCATCAACGGCATATGAGGGATTGACCCTGTTTCCCCACACTCTCAACAACATCTGTCACTTTCCATTTCTTCCATTTACTTTTTACAGCCACCTCGGTGTGAAGTTGCATCTTGCTGAGGTCTGCCTTGCACAGCCCTGAGCACTAGCAATGATGCACACAGCTTCAAGTGCTCACCAAACACTTGAGTGTCTTCTTAGGGAAAATGGCCACTCAGATTCTACTAGTTTTTACTTTTATTTTTATTCTACTGTTGAGTTGATTGAGTTCTTTGCATAATCTAGGATACAAGGCCCTCTCAGATGTATGATTTGCAAATACTTTCTTTCTGTGAACTCTTTTGCACTTGTGTCTTAGACACTTTACACTAAGATACAATATCAACACCCATAATTTTAAAAAAGAGGTTTCATTTGGCTCAAGTTTCAGTCTATTGTCAACTGGCTACAAGGCAGGATGGAATGGCACAGGGGACAGCAGAGGAAAAGTGGCTCATGGCATTGGTGCTGGGGAGCAGAGAGTCAACAGAGGAGCCCGAAAGAAGATGACTTTCCTGGTCACCCCTACCACTCCCTGTGGTCGTGCCCACCCCTCTGTGACCTGACCCACCTCTTCCGACCAGGCCTCCTCCTAACAACAAGCCAGCTGTAAGGCCTCCCTAGTCCCATCAGCTTTCAAAATCCCCACCTATGAGCCTGCCAGGCTCTTGGGAGACATTCAGATATAAACCAAAACAACTTGTTCCCGGAGTCCTTTGATGCACAAAAGTTTTTAATTTTGACAAAATCTTAACTTTTCTATTTTTTTCCTTTTGTTATTTTTGCATTGGATATTGTATCAAGAAAGGCTTTGCCTACCGCTGTTCACAAAGACTCCTTTTTCTACTGAAAGTTTTACAGGTGTAGGTTTTATATTTAGGTCTATGATCCATCTTGAATTAATTTTTGTGCATGATACTAAGGGCCCAATTTTATTCTTTTGTATATAGATATGCAGTAATATCAATTCCACCTGCTGAAAACCTATTTTCCTATTAAATTATGTAGCCTTCCTTGTAGAACATCCACTGACCACAGACACAAGGCTTCAGTTCTGGACTCTGCTCCAGATGTCTACACATCTATCCTTATGCCAGAACCACACTGACTCACTATATTTTATAGCAAGGTTTAAAACTGCAAAGTGTTAGCCCTCTTACATCCTTCTTTTTCCATATTATTTTCGCTGGACCTTTTTTTTATGTCCATGTGAATTTTAGGATTCTCTTCCCAATTTCTGCAAAAAAACTATCTAATGACTTCAAATCTAGTTGCTATAGACAGGTTCCCAACATCAGCTCTGAAACTGCAGAAGAGAGGTGCATGGGCACTGAGGCAGCATCACACTCCTAAAAGAAAGACAGAGTTTATGTCCTATTTGGGGGAGCAGGGATGAAGAAAACACATAGCAAGAGTAAGTCTAAAACCTTCTAAATTGGAGAGAACTTCCCACTCTTCTGATGGCCTTGCAACCTGAAAGTGAAAACCGGAAGAATAAAAATTTCTTTATGGAAGAAGCAAGCTTAAGTAGCTTTGAATTCAGATTATTAAATAGATTTTGGTTATATAATATTAAAGTAGAAAAATGAAATATTTTCTAAATATCTAAGTTTCTATGGCCACGTACCAGAATCACCCCAGTAAAAGCAGCATTAAAGCAGATCACACCAATGTTCAGGCTCTCGAGTTGGCTGAATGACAGTCTGGATCTGAGCTTTACCCAGACTAATTAAGGGACCCTGGATAAATTACCTAGCCTCTCTGCCCATCTCTTGAGGCTACTAATGCAGCTATATCACTAAGCTCAGCACCAGCCCTGAGTGCTCAAAAATGAGCCACCCCAAGCCCCACAGAAATGCTCCTCAGTGCCCAGGGCGCTCTCACCACTCAACAGAGAGCATCTCCAGTATTCCATCCAGGAAGTGTTGCACCAGAAATCAAAAGAAACTGGCTTTCTAAATGCCACTTAGAAGACCAAACTCACAGATTTTATTTTTGTAAGAAGTAACTGAAGGGATTAAAAATTCTTTTATGTTGCTAATTAGAAAACTATGAAAAAACTACCCACTGTTCTTCCCAGTAATGTTGATCCACAGAAGTCTATCTTTTGCCTCTATCTCATTAATATAACCATTACCTTTTTTTTATAATTAGTTTCAACCAAATACCAGTGGTGACATTTAGAGAGCAGTAAGTCCTTGAGGACATGACATAAAACTTAGAGTAAACTTCTGGGAGAGCAATCACACCTTCAGAAAGGTCACGATCATTACCCAAACCAGAGTAGTCATTTCCAAAGGACGGTGCCCTCCCTCCTGCTGGTCTGAAAGACTCACAGAGTCAGAATACAGGTAGGATCTGGCATTACACCCGTGCCCTACAGAGCAAGAGAACACCCAGGCCAGCCGGGATGGGAAAACAAACTCGTGACGTCACTAACAAGAAGGAGCGGGAGGGAAGGAGAGAGGGGAAGAGGAGGGCAGCTGAGAGGCGCACACAACCGTATTGCACAAGTTCCTGGGAACCTCGATAGCAGGCAGGAAAGAAGGCTGGAAGGACAGATGGCACCCTCACACTGCTGCACCCAAGTCCCAGCACTGGGCTTAATCATGTCACAAGGCCACCAGATTCAAAAGAATCTAAAGCTGTTCACAATCCTGTTGATTTCATGGCCTTGACTAGAAGGCAACAGAATAAATGAGGAACTTCTCTCACGGAAAAGTCAAAGTGGAAAGGATTTAACTGGCAAGGCTGCTCAGAGCTCTGGAAAGCAACCCACGAGGGAGTAGGTGGCCTCCCTGACATGACCCCTAGGCCGCTCCCTCCCTCCCTTCAGGCCTGCGCTCAGGGTGCTTCGTCTGACAGTCTTTCCAGATGGCCACAGCCTGCCCTGTTCCCCTTCCCAGGACACCACACCAGCACTTCCGCATCCCTGGTTCCCTCCTAAGTCCCCACAGGCAGAGCAGGGTGCCGTGGGCCTACTGCTCCTAGGCGGTGCTTCACTAGGGAACAGCAGGAGCAGCAACTCTCGGGGGGATCCCAGCTTCCTCCTCAGGAGCCTGCCTTTCTTCTCTCTGTTCTTTTGTTCATCTATTTTTAGCACATCAGGTAGCATTACTATTCCTGCCTCAGTTTTCCTCTCTGCACTGTCCCCTTCTCAGGTCCCAGGCAGCCCTCTCGTTCCTTCCTGAGAGAACTTCCCTAGCCATTTCTCTAAGGTAGGTCTACTGGTGGCCAAGCTCTTCCTCTCCCTCCTCTGCAAGTCCAAGTTTTCCCTTCACTCCCCGGGGTTGTTCCAGTGGATGCAGAGTTCTCAGCAGACAGCTCCTCCAACACACTGGACCGATATACAAGCTGCCTGCCTCCGCCTTCCAGTCTGATGAGTGCGGCTTTGCTCACTTTCACGGGCCCACAAGGATGTACCTTCACAGAGGCTTCCGTGGGTTTATCGTGCTGGGATTCACACAGCTTCTCGAATCTGCAGATTTGCCTTCTGAAGTTGGGAAATTTTAGCCACTATTTCCTACCAGCCCATTTTTTATTCTATCTGCTCCTTATTGGGTAATTTCTGTTCACTGATTTCTTCTGTCACCTGCAGTCTGCTGGTGAGTTCAATGACCGACACTTTCAATTGGCTATTTTGCTGCATTAAATTTTCATTGGCTTTCTCTACCTTCTGTATTTTCGCTGAAACTTTCAGTTTCCTTCTTGAGACTATTTTTCATTTGCTTCAAGTATGTTTGTGATTTATCACTGAGGCATTTTTTGTGACACCTTTTTAGTCTTAGGCCTTTTGATGAGACTGTTTTAAAATCCTTGCCCTGCCGTCCCAACATCCTTGTCTTCTTGCTGTTGCTGTCTGCTGATAGTCTTTTCTTATTCAAGGTGAGATATTCTGACTGTGGTATGACAAGTGATTTCAATGTGTCCATGGTGTCACTAGTTGGCCCTGAGGCTCAACCCGCCTGCCCTCTCTCCACCTATCAGGTCATATTGTCCCCAAAGGCTACTGGCTGAAATCAGTGGAGAAACAGAAGTGGTCAGTTGCATCTTGTCTAGAACCACAATGTTTTCAGGAGTTTTTATGAAAAGTAGTTCTCAGCTCACAAACACCATTAAGAACACATCCAGACAAAGCCCCTGACTCTGGGGACCAGCGCTTCCTCCTACAGCAGGAGCTCAGCCCCACCGTCACAGGACCCATGCTCACCCAGCACCCATCACAACTTATCACCTTCCCTGGCGCGCTCCCCCATCTCCTTCCACTTCCACCCACAAGCACCCACCCAGGCATGACTTCCTCTGACCTCCCTGCTCACTCTGACATCGCCCTTCTCTGCCCCAGAGTCTCAATGTCCCATGGTCAGGCTGTAAGGGAAAGAAATAGGCTGCACCCATGCCTGGATCAGGGAGAGGTGCTAGCTGCAAAGGACTTTTCTAAACATAGATTCAGACACTGAGTGCCCATCAGAAATGGAAAGGACTCGAGACTCCATGGAATCCAGATAAGGATGAGGAGCAGCAGCAAGAAAGCAGGCCTGGCAGCCCACCCTCTCACAGGATCAACTCAGAGCCCATCACTTCCTCTACAGATCATCAGGAGCAATGATTACCTTGTCTGGAGAACAGTGGTACGTCAGAAAAGGAAACATGATATTATCCTAAGACAACAGTTATTTCTGGACATAAATGTCAACTCCCTTCAACCTGCTGTAGGTCACTGGGCCTGGGATGCATTTGCAGAGACACCCAATCCTTGCAGCCTAATGCTGGCAGTTTCCTGGCCTGAAAATGCATTTTCTCTCACCTTTCACTATACACTGCCTATGTCTCCACAGAAACTCTACATTACAACTGAATCTCAACTGCAGAGAGAGACACAGGAAGACAGCAAAGGACCACAGAGATAAGGCCACCAGATGTGACCTTTCAAGGCTCTCAGATCTCCACTCAGATGTCTTCTCCCTGGACTGCCCCTCTACCCTGCCCCAACCACCACACCGCCTGGCTTCTTTCCCTTGCCTTTATCAGGACCTGAAACAACTTACTTTGTCTGCTTATGGTCTGGCACCCAGCGTTCCCCCTAGAATGTAAGCTGTGCAACAGAAGGACTTGGTCAGTCTTATCACCAGTGTCACCCAAATTCGGAGCAATGTCTAGACACAGTAGGTGCTCCATCAGCGTCTATCAAGTGAATAAGCTAACAGATGAAGGAAGCATAGGCACAGCTGTCCAGATCTGGCTGGTTTCACTCTAGCAGTCACTCACTGCCACTCCCAGAACACTGTGCGGGCACATGTGGATGTCTCGCTAGGGCCACTGGGCCAGGCTGGCATGGCATCGGTGACATAGGTCCCACTCCATGCTTTCCTACTTAGGTGGGCCTCACCCACCTTGCAGGGCAGGAAGTGCTAAAACCAAGGGTAGGAATGAGGCAGTGGACAGCACTAGGCCAGCAGCACTGACAGACACAGGAAAGAAAAGCAGTGGGACAGACGGACATACATGAGAAGAACAGAGCAACAAGACTGAGGCGAGGAGCCTCCTGCAGCCCGCTGACACCGTGCCCTCAACATGCTGCTCCGAGGACCCCAAGACCCCAGGAGCCACAGCCTTACTTCTCAAACTGCAGCAGACTGAGGCCCACAGAGAGGGTGAGAGCACGGTGGCTCAGCCTGATCCCCAGACAGCTCAGTTCTGGGGTCACGGGCAGGCCTACATGTGTGCACATCTCACAGGCTTCAGGGGACCCTACACAGGCCACCGTAGACCTCACTGTGAGTGACAAGACGCCAAAGCTATGCTCCCAAATACTGCCACGTCTGTGCTAGCGTGGCTGAGAAACTGTTTTAAATACTATTTAAATGTAGCTAACTTAAACAGAAGTAGCCACAGGTGGCTGGTGGCTCCTTCCCTGGGCGAAGAAGACAGTGTGTTTCCATCTTCCCAGGTTATTATGATAGGCAGTGTCTCACTGAGCCAGGCCTCTTCTCCCAGCAGGAGTGGGTCCCTCTAAAAGGGAAACCATTCAGCCAGGTGGGGCAGGACACAACTGTGATCCCAGCACTCCATGGGGCTGAAGCAGGAGGACTGCAAGTTCAAGCCCAGCCTGTGCAACTTAGCAACTTCAGTGAGAACCTCTCTCAAAATTAAAAAAAATATTAAGTAAAGAAAAGTACATAAATGGGCTAGGAATATTGCTCAGTGTTGAAGGCCTGAGTTCAATCTCCAGTGTCACAGAGAGAGAGAGACAGAGAGACAGAAAGAAAAAGAGAAAGACACAGACACAGACACAGACACACAGAGGAACCTTTCCCTAAAACCACACTTGTTTGCCTCTGAGTCCCAACCTGAACTGCAGATCTGAGATCAGCCACTTGAGCGATTCTGGCACTGGAGCGGTCCAGTGCCCAGCGGTATTGGGAGAGGAAGAGAGTAGGAATGGAGAAGACTGCTGGTGCTCCCAGTCTATCCTGTCCTTTTCAAAGACAGGCAAAACCTAAGTTCTGGAACTCTTAGACACTCACACTTGCTTAGAGCCCAGCACCCAGAGACAGGGAGGCAGAGGTGGCTGTGGGCATATCCGTACCCTCCCACAGACTGGGTGGGGGCCTGGCTTACTCACGCTGAACACCTTCACGTCGGGCCTCTTCCTGATTTCCTCCACGAGGGCCAGTGGTTTCCCTTTGGGAACTGGGATGGTTCCGAGGACCACAGTCCCTGGTGAGGACAGTGTCTGGCGCACAGCTTGGATGAAGGGCTGGCTGAAGAGCTCCATCTTCCCGATCTCATCGATGACACACACTCCCTGCCTTGAGCCACCACTGGAAATCGCCTAGGGTGACAAAATATTCATTGGGACCCCAAAGCCACACTGATCACAGGCCCAGGATCTCAGCCCCAAACACTCATCAGCTAATGGTGTGATGGGCGGGCGGGCTGCCCTCGGAGGACAGATTGTCCTCAGCAGTGCACACACCAGATGTCTACAGTCTCATGAGAACATTCAACTTCCTGGTCCCTTGAGCTTGTCTCAATATTTTATTCCCTCAGAATGGTTCTTATAGTAATCCGCCTTCGGGATTATGCACACTCAGAAAAGAAATGGCACCCAAATACTTCAGGTTTAAAAGAAATGAGACAGCAAAGCTGAGAGCTCTCTTCTCTCTCCATCACTCCCCCCCACCCATATTTTTAATATGTAAGATGTTCCCTGACTGCTGCAGAGGACACATACGTGCTCAAGTATCTGTATTCCATACTCTGATGAATGAGTGTTGGTGGGAAGAACGAAAATTAAAAGCAGTCTTATAAAAAAATAAACATCTGAGCATAGTGGTGCATACGTTTAACTGCAGCACTCTGGGAGGCTGGTGCAGGAAAAAAGTTGGAGTCCTTCCTGGGGAGCGTAACGAGACACTGCCTCACACACATATACATTTACATATATAAAGGGACTGGGGGGTATAGTGCAGTGTAAAGGCCCCGAGTTCTACCCTCAGGAACATAAATAAAGCAAAACCAATAAATACAGTTGTGTTGCTCAGATCTCAAATTCTCTAATGGCTTTATCCAATTCATGTCCATCACATCTCTGCAAGTCCCAGTCAGAGCTGATGTGGCTGCGGCCTTCCCAGTCTTCACAGTTCCTAGGTCGCCTGCCCCTGCACACCAGCCTTGGGCTGTGCAGCCACCACAATGTGGTCGGAGTGACAGGATGTCACTGAGTACAGGCAGAGAAGTGCTGCTTCTGTCCTGCTTCCCTTTGCAGGGTCATTTGCTCTGGGGAGACAGCTGCCCTGAAGTAAGGTGCTAGCAGTGAATCTAAGTGATAGAGACAGACTGAGCTCCAGCTCCCACATAGGTGGACTCGGAAGTGGATCCTTACTACCCAGCCTCAGAAGGGCAGAGGTCAGCCGAAAGCAGGTTAGTGACCACCAGAGGGCCCTGGGTCAGAACCACCCATTATGGCTATACTGACTCTTGATCCATAGACAATGTGCAGAATGAATGTCTACCGGGGTGATTTGTTACCTGGCTATCGATAACTACTACACACATACTTCCTAGAGAAAGCCAAGTACACTCCTCGTCCTTTTAGAGAAAAGACACAGTCCAACAGGTAATAAGCACTTCAGTGACGCTCCATAGCAACTGCATTCCATGTCTTTGTATACAGCATTATGATGAAAGCCTCAGGAGAATTTCAGGAGAATTGACTCACAGGTCCCCTTTGCGACACTGCTTGGGCCCTTCCGCAAGAGTGGTACAGGCCAGCTAGATGCTGGGCAGGATACACAATGGCACCCAGTGACACACAGGGCAAAGGGCCAGACCTGCAATAACTTAAATGGTATCCATGGATGGAGAGGGCCTTTGTCCCTTAGCCAGGAGAGGCTAAGCCAGTGAGGGTCACAGGCTGCTCCTGAAGACAGATGTCCGGGAGGAGGGAGCTATCTGCTGGTACCCTCTATCTGAGACAGCCGGGTCTGCACCAGCTGTGACAGGAGGGAAGCACAAAGCAGCCCTCCTGAACACTAAGGAAACACTGCTCCTCTTTCTGCTTGCTAAACTGCACAATTATAGGAAGAACTTTCCCATCCATTTCACAGCAGAAAGAATAAGGAAGGTCACCACAACTGTCCCAAGAGATCTCTCTCGATGGTGGCCAAGCTTCAGTGCTTCTGAGGTAGTTCATTTTCACCTCTCTATCAAGTGCATCTGTAATATATCTGGCTGCCCTCGTGTAGGGTTTAGGCTCCTATCTCTGTCTTCCCTGCAGTACTGATCAGACCCCCTGGCCAGAGAAGCAGAAGGCTGAAGAGTCCATGCTCCTCTGCCTGGGCAGGGGCATCTGTTAAGTCAGGCACGACTTATACCAAGCTCTTTCTTCAAAAACGAATGCTGAGCTTGGAAGAAAACCGCCATCAGTCACCCATCTGTGCTGGTAAAAGCAGTCAGTCCCACAGGAAAGTGTCTGTCTTCCTGAGAGCAAACCTCTCCAATTGATCTAACCCTTTCCAGGAGGTCTACAGAGCACTTCGGGCTCCAGAGACAAGAAGCTGTGGATGTCATTTTGGAGGCCACTATTCACAAACTTCTACTTCAGCACAAGTTGACAGTTTTGAAAACTATCACATCAGACAAAGAAACAATACAAAAGTGTTTAAGTACATGTATCTATTTGAATACATGTAGTAATCAAACACACATGACGCATATGTAAATATACATGTGTAAATACACAGCATGTGCCCTACACCCACCCTTCCTGCACTGTCCAGTATGTGTTCAACATTTCGACTTGCTTGGGCCACAATGAGTGCAGATGAACTGGCTTGGGCCACATATAAAATACAGTATTCTGTGAAGTCATCGTTCAGAGTTCACAGCGTCAGTCATTCGTAGATTTTTCCTGAGAACCTAACTAAAACTGTTCTTGGGAACTGCAAACATCATCCACAACTGTTTTTTTGCCAGGAGGTTTGCAAGTAGCCAGTCGAGAGCACTATTCAGTTCTCCTTGCTGCTGACTGGCTGCTGCCCTGTAAGCCACCTCCTGCAGAGGCACCAGGGTTCCTGCATAGTACCAGACTGCTGTGTCCTGTGTAACTGTCTTGAGTGTTCTCAGTTTTGTTCTTCTTTTAAAGTCCTAAGATCTCAAGGTGCCAAAACATCTTGTACTGTCTAAGGCTTTGTCAATACAGTAGTTTATTAAATTACATAACTGCAGAGACACAGCATATTTAGGGTTTAAACTATAAAAAACAGGTATTTATAGGCATTTTTCTGACCATATCTGAAACTTTTCTGTAGTTTTCTGAAGATTTTCACATTCACAGGTGCTCTAGGAACATAACCAACCTCTATGAATTTCAGGGGTCCACTATATACAATATAGCTAATGTATATGAGTAATGAAACTTTCTATATTTTTAGATATTATTATATTAAAATGAAATAACACAGTTAAATAAGACACTTAACAGTTAAATAAGAAAACTTACCTGTCTACCTAATAACAATTAACAGCTTTATTCACAGGCACAGGGATGTGTAGGTAGGCTGAAATCCTATTATCACTGGTGCTGCATTTTACTCTCTGAATTGCACAAGCGCATGTCACATATGATACACACACATCTCGACTGACGATGTGTGCAGCAGGTGCAGGAGGCAGTCAGCCTGTGTTGCCCCTGCCCACATGGCACTACACTGACCCCCATGTAGCCTGCGCTGTAGCACCATGCAGCTGAGGCATATAAAATACCACTAAAAATCAAAATATGATGGTAAAAGTTAAAGGTCTTGTGGGGCTACTTGTAGCCAGGGTGACCTGTGTCTAGCACATTCATCCCGTCACTATGCTCAGCACCATGGTGCATGGGCACACATGTTCACAATGGCTTCTACCAAATAAAAACGCTCATTGTAAAATTCTCATTCTCTCCAGTATTAGAGACTTTTAGAGTCCAGGGACTACAGTAATCTCTTTTAAATTTGCAATTTTTAGTGACAATGCAAGAGATTCATACTCTTGACAGGCAGGTAGACTAGACTGCTTAACAAGCTGTCTAGATGTAGACAACATTTACCTTTTTTTTTTTTTTTTTTTTGACAGGGTCTCACATGCAACTTGAGACCACACTCAAAAGTGAAATAAATCAAACTCACATGAGTAAACATTGTATTGTCTCCCTAGTATAAAAAATGGTAAGAGTATATAAGATGCAAAATCCACAATACAGTGAAAGGATAAGAATCTGCTCAAAAGGAAAAAATAGACAGGGTCCCACTATGTAGTTCAGGGTGACCTTGAACTTACTATGTGATCCAAACTGGCCTCAAACTCTTGGCAACTCTCCTGCCTCAGCCTACTGAATGCTGGGATAATAAGTATGTACCACCATGCCCAATTTACCTGGTTTTTATAAACAGCCCTTGAACTTTAGAGGAAATTTTGCCAAGTGCTTTATTTCTCTACAAATTCAAGCCATTCTAGACAAAACAGAAACAAGTTAGTGAACCTTCACCCTGTGGATGCTATTCTAGATTATGAGTGCATACGACATGGCCCTCAGCAGCAGGGCCAGGCTCTCAGCTAGTTTGTTTTCCCAAAAGAGTAAACAGACACTGAGCAGCAGAATACCTCTGCACCAGTCAGACCAGAGGCCTGGAAAAAATGAGATTCTTTTTCAGTCCTTTGCTTATCATTAGATGTACTCTAAGACTACAAAGAAAATATAAACACAAAATAAGCAATTTCATTTACTCAAAATACTGAACAGAAAGCAAGCTAATGAAAATAGCCTTTGTCTTATGTGACTTATCTGCACAGTAAACACTGCTGGTGGATTAAGGTTAATTACTTTCACTACCAGGCACACAGCCTGGCTTCCGAGCTCGTCCCTCTGGGACAGCAAGTCCTGAAAGTCCTGAAGTCCAGGATGATCGTGGCCCATGCCTGCAACACTGCAGGTGCTGGGGAAGCAAAGGGCAGCAACAAGAGCAGCCAGTGGCCAGCTCACAGCCCCTCACCTTGGAAGAGCAGCCAGTGGCCAGCTCACAGCCCCTCACCTTGGAAGAGCAGCCAGTGGCCAGCTCACAGCCCCTCACCTTGGAAGGCAGCAGTTAACACGGGGCTTCCATCAGCTATTTCACTGTTTATTCCAGGCCTCTAAGTTTCAGCTTTCCTCTGCAGTGTGGCGACACCTACACTGACAGTCAGTTGGGCAGCATGAGAAGCCAGTGCTGTTCCTGAGCCCAGCCCTGGGACCAGCCTGGACATTTGGGCCTGTGGGACTCCATGAGAGATTTAAGGGCCCACTTGCCCCCA